AAAATGGAATAAAAGTGGAGAATGTTCTCCGGAGTTGGAGGTTCTAGCAAGCTATATGTTATTGACAGGATGTTTGCTAAGCGTTGAACGTTTTTTGATTTGAAATTACTTCTTTTTTTTATTCTAGATAAAATTTTTTGTATTTCACACTCAAAACAGATGTCTTTCTGCCAAATGTATATCGAAACCAAGAAAAAACAGTAGTTATTTGTCTGTTACAGAGATGAGTAGTCATTTAACCTCATCAAATGTATTATCGAAAAAAAGTCGTCCATCAAAACGATGTGAAAACAAATTATTATCCGACGATGAAAAACAAAAACCTTTGTCTGATGAGTTGGAACATTATCAAGTGGATCTGTATATGTATCTGATCGAACGTAAACGATTGCATGAACCGTACTTAGAAACCATCGAATTAGATGCCTCGAATCTCCATTTAACAGCTATTGAACGTTTTCCATTTCAACTATTACCAAAATTAGTACATCTCGATCTATCAAACAATCAGTTGATTAATATCGTTGATATATCAGTCACAGCCAAAGACAGTTTATTGGAACGATTGATTTTACGAAACAATCAACTGAAGTCGTTATTATTTGTCAAGGAATTCAAACATTTAAAACATCTTGGTAAGTATCAGAAATCGTAATAAAAGTGCAATCCTTCATAAGCGCCTTTGGACCAATGACAAGATTTCCTCAAGTTTATTTTGTATAATTCAAATGAAGAAGTTATTTTAAGTTCACACATTGTTGTATTGACATTCTTCTTGGTTGATATAATCAGAAGTAAACATATTCTTATAATTAATCCATGTTGAAATTTCATGAGACAGTTTTTTCTCGGTAATACGCATTTTTGCAAAAGTCTTGACAAGAATTACGACATGGAGAATTGTGTACCCTAATAGTTGTTTGAACCGATATAAAAATGACATCAAGCGCTTGTTTACCATTTCCTCTAATTCTGCTAGAATAAGAAAAGTATCTTTTTTGCTAAATAATAGTAAGATAAACCTTGTTCTATAATGACTGTCTTTATTCTTCTGATATAAACTACTCGAGTAGACTTTTGACCGAAAACTTCGTTCAGTTCCTTCTTTAAGCTCCTAATCGCGATATCTGTCATTAAATATCTATGCTTTTCAGTGATAGAGCAGACTTGCTATGTAATTATGGTCAATTTTCTCTTCCATTTTCACTTTCTCATATCATTTTTGTGTGTTTTATGTCTTAGATATTTCAAATAATTGTCTGTTGGACCATGAACGATTTTTAACGCTATGTCTGTGTTCAACTCTAACTGAAATCTATGATTCAAAGCGAAATCAATACATAAATGATAATGAGAAATATCAAAAATGGATGAAAATAATGTACACGGATGAAAAAATTCAAGATTTATGGTTGAAAAACTATGCTGATAAATATCAACAAGAAGAAATAATATTAACATCAAAAGGTATCACTCAAAAATTATTGGATGATTTTCAACATGACATATGGATAAAATTAGAGAAACAATTTCCAAATATAAAACTTTCACCAATAGCTAATTATTTAATTCATCTACGAGTACAAGAATGCGTACATGGTTCAACGTCAAATGCAATAGATGACAGTGTAGAGATTATTGCCGAAGTAACACCACAGAGACGAACATCGACTCGTTTTAAAACGCATTTAACAGACGTTTTCAATCAAGTCCAATTAAAAGATGATTTAATTACATTGGTAAGTAGAACAAAGTACAATTTTGTTCGATTTCTTTATATTTTTAAATATGTTTTTCTAGGAGCCACCAGTTGAAATCGATCGTTTTGAAGATATAACGTTTGTTCGTTGTCATTCATCGTCAGAAGGTGATTATTCAACTAGTGTTCGAATGTGTGCATTTGAACCAACCGTAAATTCATCATCGTGTATATTGGCTACTTGTGGTGGTAATAAAATTTGTTTCATCGATTTGGAGAGATGTAATGTCACACATATATTTGAAGACGTAACATTAAATCATTCAAAAAACCGACAAGTACCCGGTTCACGAAAGAAAAAGAGTGTGCCACTAAATTTGACAAATAATCATTTCACATGTTTATGTTGGAAAGTATTGCATGGAAGAAATTTGAAAATATTACTATGTGGTGCTACAAACGGAAATATTTATCTTCTATGTCCTGAATGGAATTTATTATTCGGAAAAATTGAAATACTAGTAAGTGTACACAATGACTATGAAGAAATAAGGAAAGAACTGTCGTAGCGGACGTAATTCAACTTCTTAATTAAGCCAAAAGCTTAAAGTTTATTCTAATTCGACGTGTCTCACAATGAGTACAGTTTATTCTTAATTAGTAACTCTTGTGATTAAAAGTCAGATGAAATACGATAGATTTCGTCTGAGTCCGCTGCTTAATTCTCTTGTGCTATTCTTTCCTCTAGGGTTCATGTGTTGAATGTCTGTTATGTCATCCTACTGATGAATCAAAAGTATTTGTTGGTCTATCTTTTTCGTCAATTCAACATCATTCCTTATGTTTGTTGAATATTCAACCGTATCTAAACCGTCTACAAGATTATATCTCTCGTATGAATAAAGAGAATGCTTCTGATTATGATGTTGACGAAATTCGAACATCTTATGTGGAATCGATTTGGCGTGAAAAACTCTTATCTGAATATGAAATTGATGCAAAACCAACTGATCTATTGTTTTTACTGTCGAATAATCAATTATTACTGGCCACACAAAATGGACTTCGTTCAATTTTTCATAATAACAATATTGTGATGAAATATCAACTACCAGAGGCATATTCAACATGTGGTCAGCATATAGAATCACTACGTTTAATTAAAGATGACTCAAAACAATGTTTGATTGTTATCAATATACTTGGTTTAGGCAAGTATGCCACGTGATCATCACTTTCTTAATCATGTAAATATTCTTTCTTTTTTTAGATAAAATATACGTGATTGATTTACTGAAAACGACACATGATCAGACGTTGCACGTTGTTTTAACTCTAAACAGTCCATCACGTCAAATATCATCGAAGATGGGTGTACTTGTTTCATCACAATCAACAACAGATGGTACTGATGATCATTGTCAATTAGAAATTATTGTTGGTCAAGATGATGGTATATTTTATCATCATTTCGTTAAATTGCACAACAACACTAATGCAGCAACTACAACCCCAAGAAGAAAAAACAAACAAAAGCAGCAACAACCAAGTGATATAAAATGTATTGAAAATCGCTGGCCACAGACAACTACTGCTAATAACCAACAGTTGCCACTAGCACAAATATTATGTACAAGTGTTAATCAACGATTTTTATGTTTAACAACATCAAATAGTCATCTGTGTATTTATAAAAGAAAATGTATTTGACATTTCGAGTTTTCACGTTTGTATCTGCGTACAATTTGTCTCTTTTTTTCCTGCTTCCCTATGTATATTTGTATCTATAAAGTCAGATATTTTTTCTGTCAGATATTTTTTTGATCAATAAATATGTATCAGATATTGTAACGAATGAATGAATGGAAGATTTTTTTATTATTTCTAACAGAGTTGAAAAGAAAGAGTCACGGAGAGCGAGAAAATGACTTTGTTGATCACAAACTGATTCACGGTTTAAACTTGCTACTATAAGAAATATAAGTCAACCCAAATATTAAGCATTCGATGGCTTGTGAAGATTTTATTTTTATTTCCAATTTTCTCCAAATTATATTTATGCATCTGTGTCTAGTTGATTTTTATTCGTAGTGAAGCGCAAAAGAGTAGATATTGCGCTAATGATTCACTAAATTATTTATTCATCTCTGTCTGAATTAAAGCAACAACTTTTAGGTGAAGGTAAGTGAGTTTTACAAGAGTTTTTCTCTATCACTGTGCCTATGATGATATATTTGATCTTCAAGGTAATTGCTTTGTGAATTATTAATGACGATTTCGCCCAATATAATATGGAGATAAAACTATGATAATGCAGTTGTGCCGTATACGTATTAACGATTATACGAAACAGTCAATCAGTAAAAGTAGCTATTATAATGTTCTGTTGCTGGTTTAGGACTGCCAGTTGAGAAGTCATTTAAGAAAACTTCCTTTAGCCTGTTTGTAAGGCGAAGTATAGTTCGTTATCACTGTAGTTGACTGACTACGGAATAATTGCTCTTTACTGAGAAAAACTATTTCTTTTACTACTATTTTACATTTTAAATTTTGAAAAATTTCGTGTTACTCGAAAGTGTGAGAATTCTGTGTAAAGAATGTGAGGGCTGAACACATAACAGATCCCTTCATTTTACTCTCTTTTCAAAAACTTATTGCAGGCAAACTAAAGTCTTATTTGAAACTCCAAACAAATAATCAAGTAGATTAAACATTTGTGTACAAAATGCGCGATGTCTCAGATCTGGAAGTTTAGCCGATTTATTCGCAAAATCGATTTGGTGGCTGGTTGTGAAACGTTGTCAAATTCTAGAGCCCTGCGGGATCGGGACTGGAGGAAAAAGTTTTACGGGATCGGTATAGGGATTGGAGAAAAGACCGGGATCTTCGCTCTGTATATATGTCATACAGAAAATCGCAGCCGTCAACAACTGAATGATATACCTCTTGATCCTATTTGACCACATTCGTTTTTTTTGAATTTTCACGTCGAACAATTACTGAGATTTTTACCAAAACTGAAAGTCGAAAAATTCGGCTCAGTTTCGACGCGAATATGATATTTTTTTGCATAAAAAGTGAGTTCTGGTAAAGAAAATAGAGAATTAAGGGCTAAATTCCGATTTTTTCGCTTCTGATTCCGAACAAATGTACTTTCTCAGGAATGAGACAAATTTCAGAAAAAAGCGATGCATATTTTTGTAATACAAATTAAGACCGATCGAATGGCGCAAGAATCAGAGCTCCATCTCTTAGCACAAAAAACTAGATAGCTTTTTTGATAGATGGACAACCCTACGTGAAACATAGTGTCGTATAAAAATACAGCTGCTTTACAAACAGTACAAAAGATCAATTTGGTTGCTATTTGTGAAACGTTGGAGACGAGTAGGGAAAAATCTGAAAAGTAAACCAATTTGTAGAGAATTGTTACTCTACAAGATGTGATAGTTTTCAAAGTTTAAAAGTATTGCAGTTCATCTGCATTAATTAAATTAAAACGTAACCCAGTAACATTGACCATTTTTTGTCACTGCCTTACGTGAACCATCCCTAGCGAAAGTACTCATACGATGAGTACGACTTTACTCATAATTCGTCCATGAGTACTCTATTGGTACTACTAACAATTTCTGAGTATTGTTACTCAGTGAGTACTCAGTTACTCATGTGAGAGTACTCAGAAAATATTCATTCACCATTTTATTTTGCTAAACTGAAACTGTATAAAGAATGTAGAATTTAGTGAAGAAACACAGAATATTTATATTATTATTTTCTCACTGGTCTCTCTGTATATAGTCAGAGATAGACTTGTAGTCCTACTCTAGCTACCTGAGATCACTCCTCTATGTGAAAATATCAGATGAACAATACTCATGAGTATTTTGCCGAAAGTGGTATGAGTACTCAACAATACCCAAGCATGAGTACTCAAAGTCGTACTCAGAGTACTTGTTACTCACTCATGAGTACTCAGTGAGCAAAAAAATTTTGAGTACGTATGAGTACTCGTCCGGTTTTTCTAGCAGAGTACTTTTTGAGTACTCACACTTGAGTACATTCACTAGGGATGGCATCACTTTGTCTCTTCACTGATTTTTAACATTTTGTTTTAGTATAATATATCGAATATCAAAAGAAACAGCAGAAACAAGTGTTGTTAAATTAGATAGTTTTCACTTTCTCAAAAGCTAAATCTATTTGACTGAAACTAAAGCAGAGTTACACCAGTTAATTCAAAGTCTTTCCTCTATCAAGTAAAACGTCGCGGTTCTTTGTCTTCTCTGTTTTGAAAGATATAGACTTTTTTCGTAATAAAATGATCAGTTACAACCGACGTTTTGATCGTGAAAAAATTACAAAAAAGATGCACTGACGATATTTTTTGCCAACCATGATCAAAGATAGTTGTATTCATATTACAGCAGATCGAGATCTCAGTTTGTAGAGCATAGACTTTAATACAACTTCAAATACTCTGCAGTGTCTCTGACTATTCACTTAAAGCATGAAGATTAACTACTGTGTGGTTCTGGAAATTCATTGAGAACGAGCACCCACAACTGAAACGTACGTAGAAGGGTGAGGAACTAATGATCGTCCTTTCTACCATGAACTTTGTATTCAATATGTATTCATAATCATGAAACAATATAATTGTGTAAACCTTTGGCGAAAGAAGTAGATGGGCAACACTATGCGAAACATTGTAAGGAACCTCATCCATTTCACTTATTTTGTGCCGTTTTCACCTCCTGTATATTTCCAAACAAAACTAATAACATATTTGAGATCAGCAGACACAACTGCATCGAATGGCATATTTAACGCTCCATTTGCGAAAAAAACATTTCCTTGAAAATTTTCCCGTGATGAACGTGAAAGTGAAATGCTCTTGACGACGTTTCACATACTGTTTCGAACTTTGAAGTTATCGATTTCTTCCAATGAATCTGAGAACTTTCTATTTTATCTTAAGGGCATTTTCTTTTCTTGTTTTCACTTTGGTACAGAATGAAGAGAAAACATCGTATAGAGTTGAACAGATACCTAACTCAGAAGTTTTCATAGTCCCAGATGCTTTGAGTACAAAAGGGCAATGTTAAGAAAAAATTATAGAGCTTTTTCCTAACGTCTTTCTACACTCGGATTCTGAGAAAAGTTATGTTTTCTCTCGTTGATCCGACATGTTTGTAGAATATTTTTTTCAGTGTTCTTACCATATAGACAGCACGTGTGTCTTTATGTAGAAAAACTTCAACGGTGTGCAACTGTCAGCCGTTTTAGAGCATTAGTTTATTCCTCTCTCATTTCTTTTTCTCGTGTGCATACCGACTAGTCTGTTTGGTATAACGTATACAGAGAACTTAGTCCACTTATACAGATTTTTGTTTATCTCATTATAACATTAACAACATTTTGAAAATCAAATTGTTTTACATCCGAGTTACACGAGTAAGTACAGAACAAACACTATTTTAGTATCTGGAAGAGATAATGAGAAAATCAATCTGATCATTAGTCGAGTGTGGTGTATGTGTATAGTAGATCACACGAATTTTCTGAGAGAACCAGGTTGATATGAGTAGGGGCTCTTTAGATTTAGAGGCTTCCAGTAAAACAATGCTACATTCTTCTCTGTGCTATTATACATTATAAGCATTATATTACACATTATAAAGAAATAACAAATTTCGGTAGGATAATAAGATATTCTGACAGAAACGACACTATAGGAAAGAGATAAAAATCAACCGTTAATTATTTGATGTCTCTCTGAAAATAGGAGAAACTATAGAATTTTTTAAATTTAGATTAAAAAATGACTGGTTCTCAACTGTCATCAACTGGTTCCGATTATACAATTGGTAGTCTTCATACAGCAACAGATACATATTTAGAAAAACTTGGTTTATGGAGAAAGCGCATGCCTCAAGATGCTTCTAGTTTATTCCGCGCTATATCTGAAAGTGTAAGTATTTTGTTTTATGTTGTTTAACTAAAAGATCTGAAATATATTTTCATTTACAGTTGTTTTGTACACAAGTAAATCATTATGATGTACGTCTGCAGTGTATTGAATATATGCAAGTGTTTAAGAATGATTTTTCCGAGGTAAGTTTTAATTAAATATCTTTATTTCAATTTAATTCATTCAAATACTTTTACAATCATTTTTAAGGAGCTTTCAATGAATATTATGAATTATCTTTCATTATTGAAAGATCCAAATGTAAGTTAGTCAGCTGAACACCTTTTTACTTTATTTTATTTTATTGTTGTATTTTTTAGTTCTGTGGTGGTTTACTTGAAGTAAAAGCATTATCACGCTGTTTTCGGTCGGTTCTTTTTCCGTTCTCGTGCAGCATGACTTTCTCATTGTTTCATTTTTATTTTTAGAATCAATATTATCGTTTATTTTAATCAAGCAACTGAACCGTTATGTTTTAATTATGATAATGCGATTCAAACGGTATAAATTACATAACTAGCGTTATCAGTTTGGAAACTAACAAGGGAACATATCCTAGTGTGACTTCCACTTTTCCTTGAAACATAGCTGGTTATGGGCAACTTTTTATGTTGATAACGAACGTGACATCCATTCCGACCGCTAATTGAAAATTTGAGTATTTGCAAGGAAATACAGAGTAAAATTTTTATATCTAAGTGAGAACGCACTCTTTTAAATGTAAGAACTTGCAGGCACAAGTAACTCGATATGTTCTACAATCTGGCAGTACCAGAGTTGGTTCATTTCAAAGTTCGTAGTGGATCTTTGGAGATCCGGATTTCAGAACAAAAGAAAGTGATGGTGGTAGAAACGGATATCAGATTCGTTATCAAAATAAAAAGTTACCCATAACAAGCTATGCAAAAAGTGGAAGTCGATTGTAAGTCTAAAGATTTGGAAGGGTTATGGATAGAAGTGTTTTCAGTCTAGAGAATCAAGGTTAGCGTACAGCGATATGCCAGTAAACACTCACGTCTAACTCTAGACGTGAGCTCATACCAAAGCTTTCTTTGAGTTCTTCTGAATACTGATGGTGCTTCACTTTTTTAAACATTCAAGAATTTTAGGTTTCATTAGTTTTAATTGGTTATCAGTTTGATCGTGTCATTAAAGAAGAAAAACGTACACAATTAGCTATTGCACAAGGTAATTGATGGTGCTTCAATCAAAACACTCATTCAGTTATATTCTTTTTTTAGCATTCACGTACAAACTTTTGTTTTCCGAGGTATTTAAACAACCAAGTATTGTTCAACAAGCAAAATCAATTTTACGTTCATCAGATACGCTGTATTATGGTCTCGAAACATCAAAAATGAAAAAGTAAGACGATGTAAAGAGTTGTGCAGTTTCTCTGGCTAATTAGTATAAATACTCCAGAGAAGATGATGGTTAAATATTTAACAAATTCAAAACGATGATGAATGGACAAGTCCAGCAATACTTGTACATCGAAGCCGTTACGCAGAATTTTGATACATGCTCATTTTGACCTGTTCTGTTCTTCTTTAGAAATGTACGAAATCAATCAAGACGTTGTAGTGAGGTACTTATATTAATAATATAGTATACTTCATTTTTATTTGTTTATTTTTGTTCTGTTTCAATAAGGATATCAAATTGAGTATTCCCGTTCCGTACCGTACAGCAAAAGCATTTGATCCAGCCATCTATCGTAATGTGGCATTTGATATTTGTAATCAATATGTTCGTGGAAATAAGTCACCAACAACTCTATTCTCACAAGCTAATATGGTAGAAAAACATGGTAGAATATAAAATGTATACAATAAATTTTCCTATTATCTTGATTTTCTTTTATATATTTAAGGTGTTAAAATGCGTTTACCATGTACAGATTTTTATCCAACGGATGCCAAACGTGTTTTGGTCACATTAATAAATTCAGCGAAAGGAAAAGATTTGTTACTTGCATATTACATAAGTCAAGACACTGATCATCAAACAGAAAATATGATGCATAATGTTTTTGTATTGAAATTTGGTACAATGTAAATTTAGCTTTCATACATCCTCGACAAAAGTCTTATTTGTGTGTTGCCTTTTCAGTATCAAAACATCAGTATTAAATACAATTGATTTTCCTGGTTTTCATTTTCCAATCAATCGTTATCCAAAACATATGGCATTCCTTGAATTAGATCGACGATCTGCATTTGCACAACAAGCAAAAGCGTGCTGTAAGTTTTCAGATGGGTTCAGTTCCCCACTACAGATATTGTTCTTGTAGTCGCGAGCATATACGAGCACACGAGAAGGTTTTCCTGATAAATAGTAAAAAAGCAGCTAAAGTTGAAGTTAACAACGAGAATGCTGGGTAGTTTAAGACTTGAAATGCTGTGAAAAGAATGTGTGATAATGTCATATCATAATTCTCGGGTTTTTCAATGATTGTGATTTGCACATGATTATTATTTTATAGTGAAAGCGGTTGCTGATTATCATCATCAAAAGCGTCGTCAACAGCATGTACGCACAAATCAATATGGTCGTCCATTGACAACTCGTCGGCATGTACAATATTCTTTGTCATTTTTCTGCAATGTTAATCTTCTTCTGTTGTTAGTTCATCATCAGAATTATTCTCATTCCAAGTCGTTCCATTTCAACAACAAATGAATTCAAGTAGTAATTCATCACAAAATGATGAACATCAAAATATAACAAATACAACATCGTCGTCGGCTTCATCAATAACTGCAACCGATCAAGGTCTTGCAAAAGGTTCAACCACAATTTTACAAATGCCATCATATTATACAGTAAGCATCTTTTTTACCATCACTGCTGTTTCGTGTGCCTTTTATGCGGTCGTTTTAAACTTTTTTAACACTCATACATACCCCTTCCTTAAATTAAGTGCAGTAACATAAGAATATGACTTCGGTTTACCGAATGGTGAATAATTTGATGGGAGTACAGCATGAAGTAGTCTGTTCGTAATAATTTAGAGCTCCAATAGCACTTCACATTTACTATTGTTTCTTTAATATTGAAGATTAATTCATTTCAAACGGCTCTTCTTCCACCATCAGCGCCAGCAGAACAACAGACACTTTATCGTAGTCGAAGTCTTGGTGCAATCGATCGTTATCATATATCATCACCGATTCAACATCAACCTCATCAGGTTTATCATTCACAATATTTACAACCCTCAACACCAACATTAGATGTTTTGAATGAAAATTTATTCGAACTAGATGAAAATTTACCGGATTTTAATGATGATATTTCGTTTTGGTATCAACGTCAACAACAGCCAGAACAGCAAGTACCAACAATTCATGATCAATATCATCATAAATTATCATTTCCACAAGAATTTGAACAGCAACACAACACACAACCCTCAATTAAGTAAGAGGTTTGAAAAAATTAATTTTTTTCAGAATACAACGATTAACAACACCATTGAGGATTCGAACTTAAGAAATGCTTCTAGTACAAGTAGTTTATGAGATAGCTTACTAGCTGTAAATTCAAGTCAAAACAAACGGAATACCGTCATAACAGATGAAGAGTAAAAACAGCATTATTTTCAGTAGTTTGAATCTTTTTCAAAGGCTTCCTTATTAGTGAATGCTTTCGACTTACTGCACAGATTTTCTTCCCCACTAATTTTTTTGTTTCCTTTTCCTTTTTCAGCTTTGGAAATATAGGAAATACAGATCCAAATATGATGGTATATAGTAAAAAATTGTTTTCTATTACTAATTCTCACATTAACTTGTATTGTTTTGCTTAGACTTTTCCGCCACCATTACCATTTTTGTTATCTTCGCCAATGAATTCGATTCCACATGATCATTTTTTTCATAATAGTAAGTATATTTATCGTACGGAGTTCTCACACTATTGAAAATTTTTGTTAGATTTAGCACCACTCCCGTGGCAACAACCGATATTTCTTCCTCGTAGTCCACCCTACCAATCTCCCGGGGAAACCTTTTTACCACCATTTATACAACAGGCATCTCTACGTCCAGTTCATCCACCAGCACAACCAAATGGTTATCCTTGTTTTCTTACACCAGTGCAATATTTTCAACCGATGATGATGCCATTTTATCCGCCTCCTCGCATACCATCCTCTCATTTTCAGAAACCAAATAATATTAACAAAAACAACCACTTATAAAAACTTGGTTTTCTTTTCTTGTACATATTTCTTTGTTTATGTGTTATTTTGTGTGATAAAACGATGTTTTTGTGTTGTTATTTTTACCTTGTACTGCTCAGTGATCTATTTTTTTAACATGGATGAAATTGTATGTTAAAAAAATTCGTTTATTGTTTTTTCTATTTTTGTTTCGAGTGTGTTGTGGGCACATTTAAGAAGTGAAGTAATTATTGAAATAAACTCAAATTATAAAGATCTATCAGTTTTGCTCAAGTAGAGATTTTGGTTTTTCACTCAACAGAAAACAAACTTGAATAATGGAAAAAGTAGTGACACAAAACATGTATACCATTACTTCATTTCCAAAAATGAAGAATAAATGTACTAAGACGAAAAACGAAACGTAAAGTAGTTGAAGAGGGTTACATGCTTGCGTCTTTCTATAGCCGTTTTCAACACGAATAAATTTCATAACAAATGCGAGCGACGTTTGTGAGCATGAATTATTGGTGAGTTTTCATTGAATGTAGATGTAGGGTTTTGTAGAGCTCGTCGAGTTGTATTAAGAATCCACCTTTTTTTCGTCAAGATCATTTTATAAGACCCGGATAGACGGCATAAAGGACAGAAATGGATGTTTTTGCTTATTTTCTAGCTCTTACTATGCATTTATGAAAACTTTCTAAGAATTCGGTATATGCTCGTCGGAAAGAGGCTACAAAATAAGACATAAACAACATAACATAAGATAAACATTTTACCAAGAAAATAAAAATTTTAACTTTCAGTAATGAAATCAAATCGTAAGTAAAACTAAATATAAGCTTTTCACACAGACTGACAGTTATACAAGAGTTATATATGCTTACACATAATTCGGTCGCGTTCCTTAACAGTCAGCATGCAAACTTAAACAATTTAGCAGTTTTTTCGATCAAAAAGTTTCTGAGTAAGAAGCCATATGCTTACGAACGACACACTTCCTTCTAAACCGCGACCATTTTAAACCAAATGCGTTTTAAACATTTCACATAGTCGCACGCTGTTCAAACATGTTCAAAGTGATTACAGTGTTACAAACGCGTGCAGATGGCGTTAGGTCAACCTCGAAAACCATAGTTGATCACTTTTTTGAGAGATCTGTGTGTATCTTGATCACTATAATTTGCTTTATATAATTATGTTCAACATTCTTTATCCTTTTTAATTCTCAACATTAGTCAACTCGTACGCATTACGATGCGGCAAAAGTAACACTTGAATGGCTAAATTTTAGTTGTAGAATAAATATCTCGACAGTAAAAATTAGTGTGTGTGAGATGGCTGTATTGATAATTAATATATATCCAATATTGAATAAATGACTGGATGTAGAGTGTACGCTGTTGAAAAAGACTGTAGAAAAGTAGTAAACATGTAACATCATGTATGCCTACTACACTTTTAACGTAGCCATTTTTTTACAGTGGAAGTTGTGTGACTTCATCATGACACATGCAATCGTAATGTGACGTAACGTTCATATTTCTTTGATACTACCGAAATTGTTCTATTGAAATGGCTGTATTTTATAGATCTTTCTCTTTAGCTAAAGCCGATACTTTTATTTTATTGTTCTATGGTGAATCTCGTTCTTTGCTTTAAAGAAGACTAAGAGGCTAAGACTATTTTATTCACGAAAAGTAAGCGCCATAAAAGATCGCGACCTCTAATAACGATGACTCAAGCCAAACAACACCAAAAGAGAATAAAAAAATAAAGAAGACAACTAAGGTTAGAACCAGAAGTAGGAATTTACGAACGTTAATTTTCTTCTTTACTTCAATCTTACTAAATAACTAGTAATTGTGTTTAGTGAAGATAATTTGTTTCAGATTAAGTGTAATCATACACACGATGAATTCGGAAATAAATTCATTAGCTTTTTCGAAGATGTTTTTACATTTAGCCAAATATTCCGAATTGAGTGTAAATGGTGTATTGCTAAGTGAAAAATCGGATTTAGTTTTGAATTTTGTCGATTGTATACCATTATTTCATGGTGTACTGTCGCTGTCACCAATGTTAGAGATTGCGTTAACACAAGTAAGACTGCTGATGTAGATCTTATTTCAACTGCTGATTGTACGCTCTTATTCCGACTTTTCTATCTGTTTTTTTACTTCTAACACAATAGATTGAGGCATATTGTTCGAAGCATAACCAAACAATTAGTGGCTATTATCAAGCAAACGAAAATTTAAATGATTCACAGTACGTTATCTTATCAAGTGTAGAAGATTATCAATAGGCAGATATCTGAAATGTAAAAAACCTGTATCATAGAGAGAATAATTGAAAACTGTATTCCACCAGAGACGTAGTAAGAAGGTCAGAAGTGATTGTTAAGATAGTCTTATATAAGTTTCGATTGACAGTCGAGATACTAACTCTAAGCAAATTTAGACTCTTAGGCAAGAAGGACTCTCCTGGATATAAATGTACTTGTTTCTTTTTAGACCAAATTTTACCGCGATGAAAATAATGGAAAAAATCAAAGAAAACAATCCGGATGCACTTTTGTTCATGGTAAGTTGAGTTATAAGATTGAAGAAGAATAAATTGGCCTACCTTGGCCATTGTTTTTGTTGTTCTGTTTAGATCGATAATCGTCTGACAGATTTAGAAGAAAATGACAGATTTTATAACGTTTTATCGCTCGTTGATAAAAATTGGAAAGATGTGTCCGTTACGTACGTAAATAGAGCTGCATAAAAAAATAAATACCATTTTTTTCTTCTTTCTTCTAGACATACGGTTAATGAGGAACATGGTCATGTTGCCTTATCGTTAGTACAACGTAATTTTCATCGTAAATTAGTTGATTTTGATAATCATTTAGATTCAATATCATCGGATTGGTTTAATAATCAAATTAAAGAAGAAATCGATCGAACTATCTAACAAAAGTCAGATTAACGTGTATGGTATGAAATTTCGTTTATTTGTTGTTCTTTTTTTTTGTTACTGCTTTTATGTTAGTTCTTGTTGAATTATTTATTGTTGTTAGTTTTTACATTTTTTCTTTTCATAGACACTCATTCATTTAATTAAAAAAAACTTAGGATCACTGTGTTGTTTTTCTTCTTCTTTTGGTTATTAACAGATGAATTTAAAAGTAATTGGGTGGCTGGCTTGTTACACTATTTTGCAATATATTTCCTTTTTCTGTTTTTGATGCGAGTGAATTGCAACAGTTTAATATTAAGATTATTTCAACTTCGTCTTGGTACATTTACATATAGATCATCATCTACATTAAATAATACACAAACACTTTCAACCTCTCAAAATATTGACGAAATTTACTTGAGCGACAGTTGTGTATCGCGTTTAAAATTGATTGGTGAAGGAGATCAATTGTTACGTATTTATGTTGATGGTGGTGGTTGTTCTGGTTTTCAATATAAATTTGAATTTGTTGACAAAATAAGTGATCAAGAAGAAAAAGATAAAATATTTGAACGTGAAGGTGTACGAGTCGTTATTGATAAAGATTCTCTAGAACTGTTAAAAGGATCAACAATTGATTATCAAGACGAATTGATTAAGTCTAGTTTTCGAATAGTTAAAAATCCAAACGCTGAACAAGGTTGTTCGTGTGGTACATCATTTTCAATTAAATAGTTAAAATGTCATCAACAGTATCATCGAGTATTCGAGCTATTAAAGGTATCTTGAACTGTTTAACTACATCTCTGCTCATTTTTTTACAATATTCTTTTTGTTTATCCAAGGTAAACGTTTAACAACGGGTTCAATGCGAGCTGCCATTACATTAACTGAATCAGCTGTAAAACGTGTTAAAGAATTATTAAAACAGAAACCAGAATCCATAGCATTACGAATTGGTGTAAGACAACGTGGGTGTAATGGACTATCATATACACTCGATTATGCTCAAGAAAAGAAAAAAATGGATGAAGAAGTTGTTCAAGATGGTGTCAAATTATTAATTGATCCAAAAGCACAATTATCATTGTTAGGAACAGAAATGGATTTTGTTCGAGATAAACTATCTAGTGAATTTATATTTAATAATCCAAATATCAAAGGAACGTGTGGATGTGGTGAAAGTTTTAATGTGTAAATAGATGGCAGCATTTTTTTGATTATTTATTTTTCCTCTCTCTTGTTTTTTTAGTTTGTTTTTGATATTTTTTCAAAAAAAATTATTAATCTTAAAAAAATAAACAGTTGTATACCCCTGCATTGTTATTTATTTACTTGAAATCACTATGAACATCTTCTGCTATGTATAAGTTGAGGCTGTCTGCCTTTTGTCAAGAATATACACGAGATACTTGTGGTAATCAGCAAACTAAATTAGTATGGCGAATTAGTATGGCGAATTTTGATATCATTCTAAAATTAATGACTGTATTCTTCTTGACTCAATTTTTAGATTTAATTGCAAAAAAATGGGGCGTCGTGGTGGTAAACGGCAAAAATATATGAATTGTGCGGTAAGTTATCACCATTTCGTGCTATTTTTATTTAAATTAAGTTTGATACATTGATTTGTATTTTAGCGTATGATAGAAGATCGAAATACAAGGAAACAAAAACAAAAAGCGAGAGAAGGAAATACTGATAATGGTAGCGTACCGGATAATGAAATTCGCGTTAATAGATATGATAATCTCGTTAAAGAAAATGCCCTATTTGAAAACTATTACAAAGTATGTGAGGTAATGATATTTTACTCATAATATTCTATTTGTATGTCTCTTTAGTCGTTAAATATTGTACCGGACATAGAATGGGATGATTTTTTAGGTAAATTTTAATGTTTCTTTTGGATAGAATCTCATTTTCAATATCTTATTATGTATTTTTAGTTGCATTAAAAAATCCATTACCAGTAACATTTCGTGTAACAGGATTTCGTAGTCATGCCATAGAAATGATGAGATTAATTCGTGAACGATATTTTCAACCACTAGAAAAAGCGATTATTGAAAATGTTGCCATTGAAAAACCAAAAGAACTTGTTTGGTAAGATATTTTACTTATGTTTTTTCTCATTTGTACTTGTCTAATCTTTTTATTGTAGGTATCCAGGTAGTTTTGCCTGGCAATTAAATTTAAGTCGTATGCAATTACGACAAATACCAGAACTACAGAAATTAAAAGAATTTCTTTATGAACAAACAGAACATGTAAGAAGAGAGAATCTTGTTTTATTGTTACTAATAATAAATTCTCTTTTATTCATTAGGGTAATATTAGTCGACAAGAAGCTGTTAGCATGATACCACCATTGGTCCTTGGCATTGAGCCACATCATAAGGTTATTAAAAGAAAATATTTTAATTATACGAGTACACTATTTATTCTATTAGATTATTTACAGGTTCTGGACATGTGTGCGGCTCCTGGATCAAAAACTGCACAAATTATTGAATTTTTACATCAAGATGAAACAAATCCAATACCAAGTACGACATCACTTAGTGTATCTATGTGTTGATACATGATTTTTCTCGTTTAGATGGTTTTGTTATAGCGAATGATGTTGATAATAAACGTTGTTATACATTAGTACATCAAGTTAAACGACTTGAAAGTCCTTGCTTCGCAATTATTAATCATGATGCTAGTGTACTACCAAACATGAGGTATCCCGTAAGTTCTTATTCCTTCCTTTTTTGACTTCATTAGCATTTAGTATAGCGATGTAAGTTGAATATTTGTTTAGAATGGTGATGGTGATACATCAACTTCAAATCTTTTGTTCGATCGTATATTGGCAGATGTTCCATGCACGTAAGTTGTTTTTCGCTTTACATATTTAACCTTTTATTCTATTCGATATTATAGTGGTGATGGTACACTGAGAAAAAATCCTGATCTTTGGGCAAAATGGAATCCAGGTCATGGTTTCAATATGCACGGGTACAATCTCTTTGAATCTAAGAATCGTCTTACATACTTATTCTCATTCAAGTCTTCAAGCTCGTATTGCGGCACGCGGTGCTCAATTATTAGCACCTGGTGGTCTCATGGTGTATTCAACATGTTCAATGAATCCAATTGAAAATGAGTCTGTTATAGCAAATTTATTACAATCATTTGATGGTAAGAGTAAAGTTATACTAAATTCTGTGAAAATTCTATATTTCTTCTTCTAAACTATATTGTTTTCTACTCATATCTCATCGATATTAGTTTTTTTCATTTAGATGAACTATCGTTAGTTGACATTCGTCCAAAATTGCCTGGTCTTAAAACCACACCGGGCTTAACAAAATGGAAAGTAATTGCAAAAAATAATGAAATCTATGAAAGTTTTGAACAAGTGCCGCTATCATTACAAACACTTATAAGACCGAATATGTTTCCACCTGCAAATGATATATTACAAAAACTTAATTTAGATCGTTGGTAAGGATATATTCCTTCTTTACTTGAATAAAGATAACTTATGCTATCCATTTTAGTGTTCGAATTTTACCTCATCATCAAGATACTGGCGCATTTTTCATTGCTGTACTTCATAAACGAGAAAAAAATATAGAAAAACCATCACAATCAAATGATGTAACATCAACAGTGGCAACGAATGATATAGAAGAAGAATCGATAACCACAACGAAAAAAAGAATAATTGATATTCGATCAAGCGCAATGATCGAAGAATACAATAGGTAAGGCGTCGCTAATTCAAAAGAATTGCAAGTTCTTATTTTTCACTTAAAACTATATCATTCGATGCAAAATTTCACGGTGATTACGAATATCACCTTTTGAATT